AATGGCAGTCAATTCTTCATCACGACGGAGAAGACACCTTGGCTGGATGGTAAACATACTATTTTTGGACGGGCGGTGCAAGGGTTGGACGTCATACACAAGATCGAAAACACTAAAACATACAAGGAGAAGCCGGAGCAGGACATCAAGATCGTGAGCATTACTGTGACTTGAGCGAGTGCGGTCAAGGATTTCTTTCCTGAACGCCTCATGACGACTGCCATTTACTCTGAAGCCATCCACTTGCATGTAAATTACCCCGTGCGTATCTAGCATAGTCAAGAATTATTTTTCTTCCCAGGTTTTGAAACAGCAAGACTAGCTTAGAGAGCCATTGTGAAAAGCCCGCTCGGCCTTAGAGCAGGACTGGAGGGCGCCTCTGGATCCTGTTGCATCTAACAGGACAGAGCCAAGGAAAGACCTAGCTAGACATTGCAAGCCAAAGAGATCCCAAAGCTCAGAGAACGCCACGTGAGGGGAATCAAAGGTACTATATCCCGCAGAAGATAGAACAGAGAAAGGTGGCAAGAAGGCCGGACAACGTACTCACAAACATCGTACCACACTATAAAAAATGCGCACTGATTCGACAGCGAGGGGAAACATTTTCAAGAAGATTCAAAAGATGGACACGTAAACGCCGGATATATGCAAGCTTGAGGTGTTGGTCATACCACCGACCACCAAAACACTGAACAAAATCCAAGGAGGAATGGGGTTGCAACCGTGATGAGCTGGCTGCTGAACCTTCACATCATTCGACTAAGGAATTTGTCAAAATCACCAAAAGAAAATGACAAACAGCCGGCTGCGAATCATCGAGTAACCTCCCGAATCTCCACGTCGTCGTCTGCCGACTGGGGTGTCTTTGCCAAACGCGACGAAGGGTGGCCAGACCGCGCTTTGGAGGGTACGACCTCTGTTCGCGAACTACTGGCGATTGAAGCGGAGGTCGGGTAACTTGACCGGGGCGGAGGTGCAAGGCCGCCCATGTTCGACGAGAATTGACCAGGTTGACCGGGACCTGGACTGTGGTCACGCGCGCGGCCGGCAAAGAATCCGCTCTCTGTTCCACTGCCGCTGCCGCCGACGCCATGATAGAGATTCGGATATTTGGCGTCGTGGCGTTTCTTGAGCCATGTGGCCACGGCGGCGATGATACTGAATGCGATGATAAGGACAATAACCATGATGATCCATTTGTAGTGCCCGTCCCACCTGCAAGAATGTTGTCAGTAGCGGGTTATGGAAGTAGTCGGGGCGCAATGCCGCGGTGTGCTTACCAGGTCTTGGGTTTGGTCTCCTCGGCCTGTACGTTTGAGCTTGAGCTTGAGGGAGCTGTGGTCGCTGCAGCAGCTGATGTGGCTGTTGTCGTGGCCCCTTCAGAATTGCCTCCGGAATTGCCTCCAGAACTGCAATAGTTGTTGTACCATGTCTGCAACAACTGTCTATCGGATTCGCTGGTGCACGAGTCGCAGACCCCATCGGGAGAGGTTTTGAGTTGAGATATCAGAGACGACTGGCAGAAGCAAGAGACATGGACTGCGTGTGTGTCTTCTGGACTAGCCAGGCAGCTGCCCGCTGCCTGCTGGAGCACCGTGCATGACAGACCGCATGCTGGGAACGAAGCGGAAGCGGCGGAAGGTAAAATGGTGTCGGTGGACGCGAGAACAGTGGTCGTGAGAAGGAAGGCGATTATCAACAGATGGAATAGTCGACAGGTCGGCTTGAGAACAGCATTGTTGGCGGTCCAGGCCAACAGCCCATATGCCATGACGACGCAGGTTGAGAGTACGGTGGAGACCGTCGGGTGGGAAGCTCACAGGAATAGGCGGCCCACCATCATAGGAAAAGGCGAAGGAAGAGGATGAAAGGTGACGGAGGAACAGGATAATTTAATGTAAAAAGAGGAGAGGATCAAAGGAATGACAAGCAATGGTCGATAGATGAGATCGAAAGAATGCTTCAATCTGATGAGATAACGGATGATCAACGAGGGAGACGGATTGGGCAAGGAAAGGAAACGAGAGAGCAGAGGAAGAGAAAGACAGGCAGGACAAGACAAGGAAGAAACTAATTCGGAACAGGGTTCAGGACTCAGCAGCAGAGTATTTCGCCTGACCCGTTAATGATTATTATTAGTGAAATCCAGGCACAGACACGATTATGGAGACAGCCTGGAGTAAATTAAAAAGCCCGCGTGGATAAATGGTGGAATCAATAATAGTCAAATAGGCAGGAGGAAAAAGCAGCTCCGCAAGCGGCCGGGGCGAAGATTGAAGACTAGACACACCTGACTGCCTTAGTTCTTGTCTAGCGGATGATTCGATGCAATTGATTCGATTGCATGCTCAAATCCTGGTTGCCAGCAGCCAATGTGTCCTTGGATCTAAATTGCGTCTCCAAGGCATTCAATTTCCCCAGGGTCAGGCACCCAGGCACTCAAGAAGCCATCCGCTTTTCTGTCACCTCAAGGTTACACTTGACACTTTACAGTAGCACGGAAGATTCAAAATGGCCATGTCCGGTTGCGGCACAATGTCATCTCAATGTCTACTCCGTACATGAGCTATCTGTCGATTAGATAAAAGAAACATCGAAACTTGGTTCGTAATCATACAATGTGAGTGGGAGGGTTGTGTCTCCCTGCCTCTACAGTACTTCTGTGCTTATTCTGCGTAGGCTAAAAAAAGCAGATGCAACATTTCGTACCACTAGTATTCCCACTATTGTCCTTGCGGTTATTCTTGGCGTGACCTATTCGACCAGACTCGAATTCCAACCATGGAGCCAGATAGAGATTGAGCTTCTGAGCTATCATGGAGTGTAAAGTCACTGTGACTTCATATCCGGATAGAAACTCGCTTCTCATGGTCTCTGACGGAACCTGGCATTGCTAGAACAGGAAAGGATCCGCGGAATGGATCGACCTGCTCAAGTTGCCCAGAACGTGAGAGCTTAGATTTGTGCGCTGGACACCGGTCGACTTCGCCAGGGGGAAGAATGTTGGCCTGAGGATCGTTCTTGAAGAAGCTCGATCGAACCGTCGACTTCGTAACGGTTAATTCTTATTTCAACATCAAAACTGTGTCGGTTTTTTCGTGACGATCTTGATGTGATGCCATGATTGCGACCGACGTCCCTCCAGTTGGGATGGTTGTTCACCAAAAAGCTGACAGACCATGCTACGAACGTTTGATGCGAGTTTCGCTATGCTTTTCAGTCCTCGGATTGCCTGAGATACTTTTACTGGACTACATTTGAGAGCTTGGAATATTGTGTCCTACCCTCGTCATTAATATGGGCACCGGCAGGACGAGGGAGACGCGGTCGGCGGAAGTTCTATCATCTGTGTTTTTCAGCCTATCTCCGCCCATCATCTCGTATACCTGCAACATGACGATGATCAACGTCGGAGTTGACGGATTTTGCGATAGCTTAGCCCCGACAATGTGGACCGATTTGAGTCATCCGTGGCAACATCTGATCTCGGGTACAGGGTATATATATCCTAAATGAGCCGTGACTTCAACAAGAAAGACAATCGAGAGAACGATCGTAATAGTAAAGGTCAGAAACACCAGTACAATGGCAGAACCTCAAACCTGGCTCATCACTGGCGCCTCCTCAGGCTTCGGGGCCATCCTCGCAGAGGCCGTGCTAAAAGCAGGTCATCGAGTCGTCGCGACCGCTCGAAACCCTGTCAAGGCAGCGCAGACTTATCCCCAGATCGAGTCGTTAGGTGGGACCTGGTTGCAGCTCGATGTGACCCGACCAGACACAAAGGAAACAGTCGAGGAGGCCATCCGGAAGCAAGGACGGATTGATGTTGTCATCAATAACGCAGGGTATGCTTTGCTCGGGAGTGTGGAGGATATGAGGTATGCCTTGTTATGACTCGTCTGCACTTGGAGTGCATCAGCCTGATCTGACGATCGCAGCGAGGAGGAGATCCACCAACAGATCAACACCAACGTCTACGGACCTATGCGAGTCATCAAAGCCGCTCTTCCGTTCATGCGTGCCCAAAGGTCCGGAACAATTGTGAACATAAGCAGTATCGCAGGGTTACAGGCTCAGCCGACGTGCTCACTCTACGCGGCCAGCAAGTTCGCTCTAGAGGGTAGGTTCAGAAGAAAGCCCGAAAAAACTCCTCGACTGACAAACACCAGGTTTCTCAGAGTCCCTTTCGAAAGAAGTGGCCCCGTTCAATATCCGAGTTCTCATCGTGGAGCCTGGCGCCTTTCGGACGAACTTCTTATCGGCGTATACCACCCCAGCCGCTGGACTGAATCCGGCGTACGAAGGCACGACCATCGATCAAGTACTACAAGTCTTCCAGAGCAGCAACGGGAAACAGCCAGGCGATCCGGTCAAGGCAGTTGAGCGAATCATCGATGTGGTTCAAGGGACCGGTATAGGTGCTGGCAAGACCGGTTATCTCCGCTTGCCGTTGGGACGGGACTGCATCGCACGGGCCAAGGGCAAGCTGGAAGAAGTGAGAAAGAATTTGGATGAGATGGAGGCGATTGCCTGCAGCACCGATTTGTGAACTCCAATAATATAGATTAAGACGAAAAAGTTCCTTCGGCGGTCCACCGTGTGATAAATGCGAATTGTGTTCCCCTTTGTGCTACCTGGCATGCTTCGAGGATGAAAAAATTCCTCATATCCACTATGACCACTGGAGGCCAGGAGTTGGGGTTCCTAGGCAACTCGTTTCCGCCTAACAAGTGATGCATAGATCCATCGTGAATGAAAAGCATCATTGCAGCCATCAAGCCGGATAATATGTCCGCCAATAAGGCCATTTTTCAGTAGTAGCGAGCTGCTACCGGTACCGTGGGCACCATTATGTCCTCAAAGCGTGATAATGACTTCATTCAGACGATACCTGCGATATACAAGCCTTACGACTGCCTGTCGAGAGCAGAAACAAGATACACGTATCCTTCGACAGCAAACTCCAAAATCTAATTCATCATTGTAAAGCCGCGCCAATGTCCAAAACAATCGAATTCAACGTCTTCAAAGGCTCCGAGAGTGGGGACGTCAACCCGGACACGATCAGGCGCACCATTCAGCCCTCGGAAGTTTTCGTCGAGATCTCGCACGCAGGCCTCTGCGGAACGGACCGGCTATTCAAGAACAAGGGCATTGCACTTGGCCACGAGGGCGCAGGCACCGTCCGCGACGTTGGAAGCGCAGTAACCAACTTCAAGGTCGGCGACAAGGTTGGCTTCGGCTGGGTGCGCAAGGTGTGTGGACATTGCGACTTCTGCGTTAGCGGTATGTACTTTCTACTTAATCTAACCCTCTTTTCGATTGATGGTAATGATATAATGCCAGGTCACGATCAGTATTGCCAGCAGCGCGAGCAGTATGGCAAGGAGAACACCGAGATCGGTGCATTCGCTACCCACGCCGTCTGGCACGAGAGCATGCTGATCAAGCTTCCGGATGACCTGGAGCCTGAGTATGCTGCTCCGCTGATGTGCGGCGGAGCGACTGTCTGGTGTGCTTTGACGTGCTACGATATCAAGCCTGGAGACCGAGTCGGGGTCCAGGGGATCGGCGGACTAGGGCATATGGCGATTCAATTTGCGTCAAAGCTAGGATGTGACGTGGTTGTATTCTCGAGCTCCGCCGCAAAGAAGGACGAGGCGAAGGGCCTGGGAGCGAACGAGTTCCATACACTTGAGAACGGTGCTGTGCGAGATGCTGTGCGGCCGGTAAAATATCTTCTCTGGTGTGGAAATGAGCCGCCTGATTTTCCCAAGTTGGTGCCTCTAGTCTTAACTGCGAGAGATTGTAGCTCAACTCTGTTCCAGGATCTTTCCGATTATGTCTCCCGACAGTACGATATATCTGCTGACAGTGAGCACGCAACAACCCCCGCTGCCAGTCATGCCGCTTATCTCGAACGGCATTCGGATTCAGGGCTCCGCGGTAGCCTCGCGTGTGGCTGTCCGCAAGATGCTGCGATTCGTGTCACTGCACAGAATCCGGCCCATCATCATGACATGGCCGATGACAAAGGATGGAATCCAAGCTGCATTCCAGATCCTGGAGCAAGGCAAGATGCGGTACAGAGGAGTTATTGTGGGCCAGAGACATTTGATGGGGAAGCCTGCTGTAGAGAAAATGGGATGATAGCGTAAAATTAAAGACTACTGGTTTGATGACGATGAATCCCCATTTCTGTCACTGTGTGTGTTGGTAAGACTGTAGGCTGCAGATTGTGGTGAGTTGATTTGCCGCGGCCCGCCCCGTCCACTACCACAGCTCCTGCCATAAACCATCACCGCACCACCTCGTCTCAAAATACCTAATTGTCAATGTCCACACAACTGATGGAACACCCAACATGACTGATTCAACACCATCCTGTCCCCTAGCTAACCCCGCAAACACCATGCCTCCCACCCGCGCCTCAAATCTCGCCCCAGGTCTCCTGAACGGCATCTTCACCTCCCTCAGCCAACCATCCCGCCGCTGGTCCCTCCTCCGCACCCTCCAAAGCGACAATCCCCTCGACATCAACGGCGAACTCCGCGGCACAGCGTCCTTCCACCCTCTGCGACATGGCTCCGCCCCCTCCGACCGCCGCGATGTCGTCTACCGCGAGGAGGGCGAGTTACCGAATACATTCGGGCCGGGACTACGCTGGACGAAGAAGTACATCTGGCGGCAGGGGGAGAATGGGGGGATAAGCGTTTGGTTTGTGAAGGTGAAGCCGACTGCAAAGCAGCCGGAGGCCCAGGATGAGGAGGACGAGGCGGATTACCTGTTTCACAACTTTGATTTTGAAGGGCATGGGCAGGGGCAGGACAGAGCGGAGACAGTGGACTCGAAGGAGTCGACATTTGTCACGCCGCCGGTGCCGCCGCTCGTCCCCGGATTGGAAGAGGATACGGCTGTAATCATGGCAAGGGGGAACCATCTGTGCATCAATGATATGTATCGGACCGCGTATGCGTTCCGGGTACGGCCTGAGTCCGGGGAGGTTGTCAGCTGGTCGAGTCGCCATGTGGTCAAGGGGCCGAAGAAGAATCAGGATATTGTGAACCTGTATCAAATGGAAGGATGAGGGCACCAATGGCGAGGATCACACCAGACGATCCGGATTTGAAACGATATATGCTACGTGCAGACCCAAACCTGTGTTCCTTCTACATCAAGTCGGAGCCAGTTGCCACTAGCTCCCATGACGATTTCTACATATGATATCCCGGAGATGCTCCGGGTGATGCAAGGATGGATAGTTGGCACATGTGACGTTTTACCTCAACTACCAGGTACCATTTGTACACCCTCAACCAAGGAAGTTGTATATCTCATTGGTATTCATCGATCATCAGCAATCATATCGCGTTCACAGCGTGTAAATGAAATCCGGCCTCTTATCTCCAAGAAGTTCGATTTGGCTGCGGTCCAATCCCTGAACCCAATGATCCCGATCTCCGCGCAGACGCTTGCGGTTCTCGAGTCTGAGGAGCAGATACTGCACCACCGAACCACCGAACAAGAACAAGACTAGATACGCCAGCACGGTACCATGGCCAGGATAGAAGGTGGGCGCGTCCTTGCCCCGGTAGATGTTGGAGGATACGATTCCGTTTAGGTTACCCCAGCCGATGACGATACCAAGCGTTACACCCCGTTTGTACACACCTAGATCATGTTGTCAAAATATTGCAATGTTCATGGACCTGGGAACACTCACCTTCAGTGTTGTTGCTAGCCCAGGAGATGGTATTCGAAATGGCAGGATAAATGCCCATGGCACCGAGGAATGTTCCCGCATACCGTGCTCCGGCTGATTTGCAGCCGAGGAGCATTGCGAAGCCAGCAATGCCGACGAGAGAGACGACGATGTTGCAGATGCCACGTTGGCGCGTGCGGTCAGCGATGAAACCTACAGCAACGGTAACGATGGCCGCTGCCGCGTATGGTGGAACACTGAGTAGCTGGGCCTTGATGGCAGTGTACCCTTGTCCTTGTTAGTCATTTCACTCGACAAAAATGTATTATAACATACCCTAGACTCTGTTAGCATATAGAACCACGAATTGTTCTAAGCAAACTCACCAGCTGGTTGATGATGGTCGGCACGAAAAGCGAGAATGCATACAGAGATCCATCCGCTCCCATGTAGATAATAGCGCCGGTATAGGTCTTCCAGTCTTTCAGACTAGCCCAGAAATAGGTCATCTTGAACTGCTCATGCTCCGCACTAGCCTGCTGGTCCTCCGCAAGGCGGCGTAGGACACGCTTGCGATCCGCCTCAGACAGGAATGTGGCCTCGTCGGGAAAGTCATGAACCATCCAGAACGACAGGATGCCGACGATGATGGTTGCCAGGCCCTCCAGGATGAAAATCCACGACCAGCCTGCCTTACCGCCAATTCCATCCATCTTAGCAATGGCAGCAGCGAGAAGGCCTCCGAAAGAACCAGCGAGCGCAGCGGCAGAGAAAAAAATGGCCATGCGTACACCGAATTCTGCTCGCTTGTACCAGCAGGAGAGGAAGTAGCCGACCCCTGGAAAGAGACCGGCTTCGGTGAGCCCGAGAAACCATCGGACCTGCTGCTTGTTAGCACCATCATGTCGGATGACAATGGACGCGGGAACCGAATGAATGAAAGGTCTATAGGGCACGCACCGCCATCAATCCAGACCAATTATGCACGACACCCATCAACGTCATACATATGCCCTATAACTGGATTAGCTCGAACTTGCAGCAAAAGCGACGTAGCCCGTACCCATGCGAGCATGATAGCAGGTATAAACACGCTCGGTCGCCATCTCTTGAGCAGGATATTGGTGATTGGCTCGAAGATCGAGTATGAGATGAAGAAAATGGTCAAGCTATCGTTATATTGGTCATTGGTCATTTTGAGATCCTTCTGCAGGCCAGCTAGTTTTGCATTGCCGATATTTGTACTTTGGAGAGTCAATACAGCTCGTCGCATCAAGTGAGAAGCACATACCGGTCTAAAAATGAAATCAAATACAACAAGCTGAGCCATGGGATCAATTTGATATCGAGCTTGCGAACGAGCGCGCGATCCTAGGGTCGGTCAGCCAAGGTTACTCTTTCAAATATTGAAGTCATCGTACTATCTTGGCTCGTTCCTCCGGACTGAGCCCTTCATCGGGATCTTCGAAAAGTTCGAGCTTTGATTTTGGGGCGAATTCATGCGACCCAGAACCCTTCTCCGCGTCGGATGGTCGGGGTAACTGGTCGACTGATGCTTTTTCATCCGTCGGTTGTGACATGATGATAGCCCTGGTTGCCTTAGTCACGGCAGTACAAGTAATTATGTATTTATAAGGAGTAAAGCAGGGGGACAGGGATGGGAGACAAGCACTAATGACAGGGAAGGAAGACAGGAGAAGATATGAGGGGAAGGCAAGGGGATGAAAAAAAAGAATTGTGTCGCCCACTACCACTGATCTTTAGTAGCTCTAATATACCGCGTGGAATTAGCAAGGTCCCTCCGCACTACATACGACATTGACAAGGAGGGGTTCTCGCCGAGGGGCGGTGGATGGCTAGATACCATCGCTTCCTCCAATTCCCCAACGAGTCCCGTGTCAATGAACGGCGCGGACGATCAATCGAGAATTCCCCATGACTCCAATAATTAGTCTAGTAGGCCAATTGATAAGCAAGAAGCATACCTCTCGTACCAGAGGGAATGCCAAGTCCGGGCCCCCAACTCTACTTTCCGGAAGCGGGAGCCTTAGCGCGGGATGGCCCAAATACCCCGCGGGGCATCTCCAGCTTGCTTGATTGCTCAAGGCTTGGCTGGACCACTTCCATCACAATATACACGGTGTGTTGATACCTTGAATGGCTACAAACTTAGGACAAATATGAACGGCTTCGTCGCAGATCCTAATTTCTAACAACCTAAAAACATGGATGGCCAAAGGATGTCTAGCAGAACGTGCAGAAAGTCAAAACTCTAAGCTGTTATTAGTGCGCTAGTGCTTGACGATCACAAAGTTGGAGACAAAGCGTAGGAATATGCAATTCGTTTCCTTAAGTCCGAAGGAAAGCAGTGCCCATTCCACGCGGAATTCTGCTTATGCATCGCGCTTTGACCACCAATACGAAGCGCAACCAATGTGAGCTCGTATCGGCCACTTGTCCGACCAAATTCTTGAAGTTGGCTAGACGTCGTTGGCTCGTGGCTTGCCACAACCCAACACAAAGAGGAGGTCATGAGAGGATTCCGCTATCAGTGGATGATTAATGAACAAACACGAGAGATGTTTCCAGAACCCGTTTAGAAAAACCCAACGCCTAACCCACGCCAACCCGATTTCCATCTCCATGAGGACTAGCCTTCATTCTGCCGCCCTTCTAAGAAACTTAATGCTGCATCTTTCGAAGCTAGGATGGCCTTGAAAGAGATCATACGCAGCTGCAGCCATCGTGATTGAATAGAAACGGACATAGATATCACCCACCACCTGTCCTTCCTCCACGCTTTCAATATAGTTGTAGTAGGCAGACCGCTTCAGCACGCGGTAAACCTCCTCCCTCAATGATCTCCGAAGGTTGCTGATGACCAGGCACCGGGTGTAGCCCTGATGAAAAGTGTACTGGCTCATCTGGGACGTCATGGGATAAGTCGGAGTGTGGACGAGAGCAACGTTGGCCACGCAGGAGCCCAAAGGTAGTCCTTCCTTTGATTTCCGAACAAAGTCTAGTGCATCCCTCTCGAACACAAACACAATGATAGAAGTGTTATATCCAGTGATAGGGCTTGTGTTGCAGAGAGAAGCCGAGTAGATCTCACCCGGAACAGACGGCAGTACCTGGCTCAGAGTCACGTTTGACGCGAGCTTCTCAATCCGGACAGTGCGAAAGACATTGGACTCCCGTCCAGCAGGAATATATCGGAGCCCGTACTGGAAAATCCAGAGATCCGAGACCGACTGCCGAGAAAGGAGGTTCGGACGATAAGAGAAGGCATCAGCCTCTTCTTGTTGATTCTCAAATATACTACATCCCTGTATGGCCCAGCGGATATTGCCATCCCAGGGAACGGTGTCCATCCCTGATCGGTAAAGCTTCGGGACGTCGGAATTCTTGCGTACACGAGCAACGACCAGAGGTTTCTGGGAAGCGAATT